GCTGGCATCGTGCCGAGGAACTGCTTGGTGAACATGTAGAGCATGGACTCCTGTGGTGTGGGCCGAGGAGGTGGCGGTTACTATGCGAAGCGTAACTCACGAAGCGGCGGTGGTCGTCGGCGACCTTCTCTTCGACGATCTCATTTCGACCAAACTCCTGCAGAAGCGCAGCGGCTTGGGCGGAGGTAAGACCCTCCCGCGGATTCGAGGCCTGCCGATCGTTCGCAAGCAACGGCCGCTCGAGCTCTGCCGTCACGACGCCGTGGGCCAACGCCATTGACCGCTTGACCGACGGAGTGTGGGGTGCAGAGGAGGGGTACAGAATGTTGATTCACACCAGAGTTTTTCTTTTTCTTCTTTCCTGAAGTTTTTGATGCTCGGTCTCGTTGACCACCTCTCTCTTTTATGTGGCTCTTACGTACATTTAGAGAGAGCACTCCCGCCTCTCGTTTGTTTCACACCACGCGGGAACGCATCTCGTCCATCGCTTCGGAGAGAGAGAGCTTCTCTCTCTCTCTTCGCTTCGGTGAAGGGGGTGAACCGCGCCATCCTCGATCGCCGTGTAAAGCTCGCTTCCGAGCTCTCACGCCGCGCGTAGGCCGTAGGGCCTTTAGGGGCCTAGAGAACACCCCCCCACTAGCCGCGGGCCCTAGGTGGCTTGAATGGATCGCGCCGACAGCCCGTGCTCTGCTTGTCTTTCCTAGGCTGATCTTCTGTGCTTGGTGATCTTTGGTGTGTGTAGTGCGTGTATCCACTGCAGTACGTCTTCTGTCGTCTCATCCGGGTCACCCCGGCGCGCCCGCGGCTCTACGTTCTCATCCTGCACCCTCATGCACGACGTGTGTATTCGACGCTGCATATGTGGAGATGAGCTCCTCCAACGCGACGAACGTGGTAGAAAAGATGAGAAGCAGATCGAGCCGCGTCAACCCGTCGCCGGCGGCCGCATCGAGCAGGCGCGCCGCTGCCCCAATCGTCCGGCCTCTCGGGGTGCGCTTCTTAGCTCCCCGGCCCTGCCTGGGCGTGCGGCTGCCAACTGCACTCCAAGTGCTCCAAGTGCTCTACGGCTCTAAGACACTGTGATTGTGCGTGGTGTACAGTGTAATGTCCAGTTAAGGGAAACCCGGTACGCGGGTCCAACCCTCGGAGAACCGTGTTTACTTCTTTATATGGCCCCTTCCCTGCGAACGCGCACCCCCCAGGGCTAGAGGGCTCTCTTGCCCGCAACCCGATCCCGATCATGGCCCGCTGGGTGCGCTTCTGAGCTCCCCGGCCCTGGGTGTGAGGCTCCCAACTGCTCCAAGTGCTCGGGGTCAGGGCTCTCTTGCCCGTAGCCCGTCCCCGAGCATCCGGCTCTGGGGGGAGGCGGGGGCCCCCGGAGCAGGCACCGTGCGCCGCGCAGCAGTGCGGAAACGGGGCCCCGGCGCTCAGAGTCGCTCAGAGCGCCAACTTCCCGAATGATTACGGTTGATTAGAGGGCAGATTTGGAGAGATCTCGAGGAGTACATACAGATAGACCCTCCAATCATCAGCAAACTCCGACCTGATCGGGTACTGACCGCCGACAGAGATCACTCCTGACAGCAGACAGGCCGGTCCAAGAGAGAGGCACCGGCGCTGTCCTGAGAAGGTGCGTGGTCCCTCTTGACTACCCATGCGCGCGAGGCTGTGTAGGCATAGCCTCGAGAGTGCCAGCAGCCAATCCGAGGCAGTTTGAGACGCGCATCGCGTCAGAAAAGCGTGCACGCGCTGGAAGGACACCTTCCTACACTGGCCGTACGATCAGGTCGATCAGGTCGTCACTGAATGTGCTGGATACTAAGGCCGCGAGCTATGCAGGTTGTCAATTGTGCAGCAGGGCACGGTCAGCAGCGCCGACAGGCTGTCGCAAGGGTGATAGCATGGCCGCAAGTTACGAGTCGCGCTGCCGATCGACTCATGGCGGACGATCGCGCCGCACATGCGAGCGGCGCGCTGAAAAATCTGAAACTGGGCCGGGAGGCAGCGCAGGGCGTGGCCAGTACTGCTATGTGTATGTACCGGCCCTATATGCACCCGTGTGTCCTGCCTATGTACGTACTATTAGCTTATGTACTCTCCTAGAGAGTACACAGTGCATTGGCAGGGTTAGACGTCGCGCGAATGCATATCTTAGTCCATAGCGTGTCTTTTGAGCACTTGAGCACTGGATAGGGTCGATTCCGCGTGGTACGGGACCCCTCGATCGTCTCGCCCTCCCTCACTGGAGTGTTCATGGGGGGGGGGGGTCATAACAAACACGGTACAGGATCGAGGTGCACGCTGCTGAGGCAGTGTGTGCCAGTGTCGTCCCCCCTCTCCTCGACGGTGATGGCGATGTGACCGATCGAGCTACAAGAGGAACTTGTTCAGCAGGATCCGGGATAGTCGCGTGCACTACCTCACTGGGCCTGAGACCACAGAGCCAGCATCCCATCACCCGTCTCAGATTTGCATTTGGCATTTGCGTGGGCGGTCGCGGCGGTGGCCGGTGCGGGGGTCGAACCACACTCGCACTGGCCGACTGCACGCTAAAGGCTACACGCTCGCACACCACTTGCAGAGTGGCTCTCCCGGGCGCTCAGCCCACGGCGGAGGCACGCCAGGCCCCGGGCAGCCGGCCGTCACTCGCCTAAGCGCCTAAGCGGCCTAAGCGGGGGGGTGCTTAGGGTGCTTAGGCGCTTAGGCGGCCCTTGCGAGCGTGGCGGCGTGGTGGTATCGTAATACAAGTGACTCCGATGACACACATGATGCTCTTGCTAGTGTCATTGCTCAGAGAGCAGCCTCACCGCGTCGAAAGTCTACCACTGGCCCTGGTCGCACACCGCCGCTGAGCTGTGATGATGCCCACAGCACCAGCAGCAAAGGCGGGCGGGCCGGCCCCGCGGCCATCGCCGCCGCTGCCGCCT